TTATCTTTAATTACTCTGCAGTTGCATTTAGTTCCTTAGCAGTCACCTTTAGGTACCCTGTAGTTACCTTTATTTACTCTGCAGTCAGCTTCAGTTACACTGCAGTTATCTTTTGTTAATTTTTAGTTACCTTTAGTTACTCAGCAGTTAACCTTCAGTTACACAGTAATCTGTAGTTATCTTTAATTACTCTGCAGTTACATTTAGTTCCTTAGCAGTCACCTTTAGGTATCCTGCAGTTACCCTGTAGTTACTTTTATTTAAACTGCAGTCACCTTTAGTTACTCAGTAATCTGTAGTTACCCGTGTTTTGTCTGTTTCTCCAGGTGTCCAGACAAACCTCGACCTTCTCGTCAGACAACAGATGTGAATGTGGCCCAGTTGCCGTGGCAACATATCCCCCCCCCCCGCCCCAGCGCTAGTCACATGACATCATGAAACTTTTTTTCTACCGTTTACACACAAGCCGTGTTTTTCTGAGATGTTTTCAGTGAAGTGCTTCAAATCAGTGTTGAATAAAAACATTTACAGACTGAGTTCTGAAACGTTTAATATCCGTCATCAAAAAGTTTTTGATTTGATGTTTGAAGCTGAGCGCCCCCTGCTGGTCAGGACAAAGCTCTACCAAAACGTTTGATATTTACATTTGTCAGAACCACAGACCCTGGTTGATTATTTCCTGGAGAGCAGTGGTGGAGAAAGTACTCAAGCACTGTATTTAAGTAAAAGTACAAATAAACAGACAAAAATGTACTCTAGTAAAAGTAGAAGTACCACATTAACGTTTTTACTTTAGTAAAAGTAAATAAGTACTTGCTTTTAAAAGTACTTAAAAGTATTAAAAGTAAAAGCACTTGCTGAATGTATTACCTAATGCAATGGTCTACAATATCATTAAATGTGCCTACTGTATGTATATTTTCTGTAATACATTAATAGTGTTGAGCCATTTTAGTGAACAATGTTGCAGATAATACAGTTTTTATTGTGTTTACTCTGTGACACAGTTCACACTTGGACTTGTGATTCTGTGCATCAGAATTTCAGGGATGACATGCAGAGTTTATTAACCTTTATTTAACCAGGCAAATCCCACTGATATCACAGATCTCTTTTGCAAGGGAGGCCAGGGCCTGAAGGCAACCTAACACATTCAATGCCATTAAGCAAAGTAAGAAAGAGGAATGATTATACCTTTGAAAGTTTTTATTTAACACAAAGCAAAACCAATGTGTCATTTTAACTGCAGTAAATACATTTAGGTAAACCCAACAATTCTCAGTCAGGTCATCTGGACAATTTCTTTTTTTGCTGAAACGTTTCACCTTCCATCCGGAAGGCTTCATCAGTCAAGGAAACACACAACACATAACTGATTCTTGCCCCAACAACTTACTCCAAAGTGGAACAAACCAGTTATGTTGGTGCTAAGATGGTCTCTTTGACATGCCTCCTCCTCTTGTGCCGGCCCTCTTCCTCTTCAACAGTCATGTCAAATTGGTTCAAAACCAAAAAGGTCCATGCTCAATAATCCATTTAAGTAAAAGTTGTCGACCTGAACAAAGGGGCATTAGACAGACCTAACAAAGGAGTAGGCACTGATCATTTCAACTGCAGTTTGGCATCAACTCTAGTTAAAATAATATTTTAACTTCCCGACGCCATTTTCAAAACTTGGACCCGAGTGTCGAGACATTTGGAGACATCTCTTGTCCTAACATTCCATGAACTGACACATTTTAATATTACAGCAAGAATTTCTTGTTCAAGTTCAGAAGAAGTTGATGTTCAACTTTTTTTTGTCTTGTCTGAGAGACAGAATCTGTCCTGCTGTACTGAACAGTCTTTCAATAAGGCCATGGGCGGCGTGTATCTTCTGGCTGACTCTCCGTGGTGGGTGTATTAGCCATTTTGGTGTGTATTAGCTGTGCTGTGGGTGCACCCAGCTCAATGACGTATATACTAGAATATAGGTTGTTGGCCCAGCTCTTCTTGAAGGCGGGTCTAACGTTACCTGCCCACTTTGCAGCGCTTCAATGGACCAGTTCCCCTCTCACCACTGGTTACTTTCAATTAACAAACAAATCAAAAATACGCAACGTGATAGTAACTTGTAACACAACACATTATAGAAATGTAGTGTAGTAGAAAGTACAAACAATGTAAAATGTAGTGGAGTAAAAGTCGAAAGTACCCACGTTTAACTCTATTTAAGTAAAGTACAGCTATGAAAAATGCACTTAAGTACAGTACATCCCACCACTGCTGGAGAGTGGACTCTTTCAATGACTGATGCTTTAATTGACATCTTTTATAAAGTTCTTCTAAATTAGCTGTTATGTTTTCTCATATTTCTGCAGAATACTCTAACAGAGTAAAGTTTATAAAGTCCTTTCCTGTTCAAATGTTAAGATTTCAAGAGAAAACTCTGGCGTGTGTCTGGAAAATGAAGCAACAAAGACTAAAACAAACTTTTATAATGGATTGTTTAATGTCTTTATATAAATATTTATTTCACTGCTATGGATAATAATTTACTCATGTTGCAGAAAATTTGTGACGAGAACTGAAACAAGCTTGTGCTGTAAGAGTTAATTAAATATAAAATTTCATTTTCATGTTTTAAACATTTTCCAAGTTCATAATTTAAATTTACAGCTGACAAAATTCACAAATTAAAAAACATTTCAGACTAAAAAATATTAAATTTAAGTTCAGCCCAAATCTTGCAAGAAACGATCCAACAAAGCAGCTGGTGCATGATGGGAGTTGTAGTTTCATTAGAAATTCATTCAGGGACTTTCAAACTGAAAAACCTGCTCTGATGTGAAGCGAAACCTCTTCAGCTACAATATAAAAGTCAAATGTTGTTTTAACAAAAAGTTGTTATGGATTTACTTTTTATGGTTTATGGAGCTGCATCTGGACCGGACTTGAAAAGAATCTAGAAAGATGAAGTTTTAGGTCTTTATTAGAAACAAACAACAGTTCAGTTTGCCTCAGAACACCAGAGTAAACTCCTCCAACCCCGAACTGTTTCAAGTTTAAAGCTCCTCGTTGAAAAGTCTGACATCAGACAGAAAACGTGACCGACCCACGTCGGGCCGGCTGCAGAGTACGGACCGATCCGACGTAGAAGCTGGAGAAGACGTTTAAATCTCAGTCGGATGAATAGTCAGGGACACAGCCGGGCCATGGTACCTCAGTCCTACCTGACGTTGGTCACCTGGTTTTAGTTGAAGCACAAACCGACCTTGGATAGGAGGGAACTGTGGGTCTGGTTCTTCGGGCTGGTCTTCATGACTCTGCAGCGAGGAGCTTTCAAAAGGACTCCAACATGTCCACAGCTTCGGCAAGAACCATCTGCTGAGATGGTCTGTTTCCTCCTTACAGCAGCTGAGGGGTCAGAACCAAGTCCAAAACACGAGCTCCTCCATGTGATGAATCAGAGGTCTTCTGCTCACTGAATCACATCTGGTTCTGGTAAAGATAAAGAGTTCCTGAAGCTTTAGCAGTCGGACTCTGTTTAATTAGAACTGTGCTCGGCCCGCTGGGTTTCCACACTGCGGGACGGGTCGTTCAGGCGCTGGGCTGCTGGCAGTGTACACAGCTCCGCAGCAGCCTCAGTCTGTGGGTCTGGACCTGCACTGTGCAGCGGGTCAGGCCATATGTGTGCAGCAGCAGGTGGCGGGCCTTGGCCTGGACGTCCTCCCAGTTCTGAGCAGCAGAGGGCGCTATAGCACAAAACATTAAAACAAATATTTTAATTAATACGTGGAGTCATTCAAGCTTCATTTATACAAGTTAGTCGCACTGAGTCACGAGGACTCATTTAAAACAGAAAGCTGTTTTAAACAAAGAACACAGATGAGGTACAGACAACAATAGACAATCATAAAAAGCATATAAATGAAAAGCAAGTAGTGATAGAAAACTAAATAAAAACAAGCTACATTATGAAATAGGGTAAAACACTGAAAAAAAGGAACATGTCTGCATTGGTTTTTGCCAAGAACTTAACAATTGTTTAAAATCCCTTAGAGAGGTCAAGGTCAAGAGCTTCAGACCTTTTTGCAAGATATTCAAGAGCGGAGTAGGAGAAGGCCTTTTCACCGAGTTGAGTCTGCACTGAGGAGACTGCACGTAAATATGTCCTGAGAGCGCACGCTGTAGCTGCACTCACGCAGAGACATGTAGGAGGAGATGTATGAAGGCAACAGACCAAGGAGTGATTTAAAGAAGAAAATGTAGCAGTGAGAGAGTCTGTGTGAAGTTAATGATGACCAGTTAACCAGTGAATACAGGGTGCAGTGGTGGGTACGGTAGTTACAGCCAGTTATGAATCTTAGTGCACCATGATAGACAGCATCCAACATCTGCAGGGTGCTTGTAGGAGCGTTCATGTAAATAATGTCACCGTAGTCAATGGAGGGAAGGAAAGTCAAAGTTACAAGAAGTTTCCTAGCATTCAGAGTTAGACAGGATCTATTTCTGAAAAAAAAGAAACCCAGTTTAACTTTCAGTTTCCTTACTAGGTTTTTGACACGAGGCTTAAAAGAGATGCGGGTTGACCAAGATACCCAAGTATTTGTAAGAATCAACAAACAAAATAGGAACACAGTTCGTAAATAAAACAGAAGGAAGAACTGCCGGGACCGACTTCCTGTTTGAAAACAACATCCCTTTGGTTTTATCAACATTTAGCACCAGTTTGAGATGGAACAAATCTGACTGGGTGATGTTGAATGCAGACTGTAAAAGCTGGAAAACTTTAGCAACTATTTTAGCTCGACAATAAACAACTGTCAGAAGTCAAGAGTCAGAAAGTTCTGGATGAAAACCAGGACCCGTTTTGATCTTTCTGACCCACACTCTGCAGCCTTAACATATAAAGTCAAAACATGAGACCAGAATCAGCTCTGGACTAAATACAGATATTTGCCTTTCAGACTGATGAAGACGTGTGAAAATATTCATCTTTAATTTCACAACATGTCATCGTTTTATAAAAAACATAAAGTTATCCTGACTTATTAAACAAAATATTGTTTGCCTGTGGTTCTGTTCTTCGTGCTGTTCTGAATTCTTCTGCAGTCTTTAGTCTGGTTTAGCTTCAGCTCTTTCAGGACACAGACGCTGTGAGTTTTAACTTTTAACAAATAGTTTATGTAGAAATACTTTAAAATCTCTATTTCTGCAAAAACATTCGGTCTCTGTCTCTGTTAGCTTTAGCTGCTTTAAGCTTCTGTTCTGGCTTTTTTTTTTTTTAACTTGTGAACCAATTTAGCTTCTTTTAGCTGTAACAGCTGTCAGCTCCTTCAGCTAGTTTCAGCAGCTGTTCAGAGTTTGTCCTCACCAAACAAAGTTCAAGTTAATCTATAATCCTGAGCCCAGAGCTGCCGTCAGATTCAGACCAGGTCCAGGTCTGGGTTCTGACCCCCCCCCCCCCCCCACCCCCCTCATTCAAACTGCAGCTTTACTAAAGATATAAATATCTTTCATAAGGCAGAATAAACCAAGCAGAACCGGTTGTTTTGCTTTCTGCCAACAGAACCGGTTGTGATCTCAGGTGATTTAACAGCAGCTTTGTTTGTAACCCATGTGAGATGACACAGAGATGGTAGATTAACAGTTATTTTGGACCTTTAGAGTGAATTCATTAACAGTTCTGATGAATGTTGGTGTTCTTGTTCCTCTCAGCTCCTCCATGTTCTGCAGCACCATCAGGTCTGATCCGAGCCAAACCAACTGGTCCAGGTCCAAAAGTGTGGAAGAGTGAGATGACAACTCCCTCTGTTAGAGAACCCAAATAATTTACTGTAAAACCATCAGGACACTCCTAATGTTCACTTCATCTGGACTTATGAGCAGAAGGACCAAACCCAGAGGGTTCTGGTCCCTGACCTGTGGAACTTCCTGACTTTAAATGTTGATTTGTTCAGGTTGTTGAATATTATATTGTTATTTTTTTCTGACTTCAACTTGTCTTTTAATGAAACTTTTTATAGATTTATGTCCTTCTTTTAAACTTTGGCTTTATTCGATAATGTTTGACGTTTGTTTTCTTGTTGAATTATTGGTCCTCTTGGACTTTGATCCTCTGTGGTTGTTTTGAAATGTTCAACAGAAATAAACTCTACGCCAAATTACAGAAACACTAATCGGGTCTCTCCTCACATGGAGAAACGTTTCTACAAACAGAAGTTCTACTTTACCTTCAGATACTTCTGCAAATGCCAGCGCAGCTAAGGCCCCGCCCTCTGAATGTGGAAGCGCCACTAAAGCCCCGCCCACAGGAACACCATTTTTACAAATCTATATTTGTTTATTTCTAAATATATTCTCGTAATCTTGCTGGAGCTGAGGAGCTGGTGTCTGCAGCGGGTAAGAAGTCATCCCTGGGGTCAAAGGTCATCTTACAGGTGGGTCTATGACATGGTGTCTGCAGCGGGTAAGAAGTCATCCCTGGGGTCAAAGGTCAGCTTACAGGTGGGTCTATGACATCATCATTTGGGTAAATCCCGTAAGAACACCTTGTTGAAAGAAATACATTTCAGATGTTCCTAGAAGCCGTTTCTGTGTGAGTTTTCAGTAAATGCTGTTCTTGTGTGGCTGCAGCCTAAAACTCAGGTAAGAATAAAAATGAGGCAATTCCAGAGAGGACGTCGAGACAAACGTTGGTTCAACAGTCCAATCAGAAAGGAGCTGCAGCAGCGAATCGTCCCGAGCTCCTTCCTGAGGTACTCACCAAGCTGCAGATGCACCAGCGCTGCCGTCTTATCAGCCGTCAGCGCCCACACGTTCAGCTCGTCCACTGACCGGACGTCCTCCAGCTTCAGGAGGTCCTCTTTGATCCGCTGGACGTCCAGGTGTCTGGGAACACCTACGGGAGCAGAGGGACAAACACACTGAGCTCTGAGCAGAACTTTAGGGCCGTCCCACAGTGATGTGTAGCATCAGTGCATGGTGACGTGCTGCAGGTATGCAACAGGTGAGTTAAACCCAGCCGTGTATGTGTGCACAACTTGTTTCAAACCTGAGCGCCTTGACTCGTGCAGAGTGTTAGTGTCACGCTGAACTTGTGCAGCATGTTGGAGCATGCTGCAATGATAAACAGGACAAAGGGAATCTGTCTACTTAACATGGGTGAACTTGTGCATGACTCACCTGTTGCAAACAACTTATCAGCAACATGTCGGCATTCGCTGATCATTTTGTGCATGTACATGTGGGCTGGCGTGGCCATATCTGTGATCGTAGATCAGAGTGCTGCCAACTTACAGCAGCGTGTTTGTGTTGCGTTGTACTGTGTTTTTCGTTCGCTGATGCTACACGTCACTGTGGGACAGCTGCCCTCGTCACAAACTGCTCCAACACACTGAGCACGACTTACACTCACGTCCATCGCAAAACAAGTCAATGAGACATTTGTCAGCTCGGCATGTTTACGTCTAAAAACGGTTCCAGTCGATTCATTTTAGTCCAGCTTCAGCGTCAGACAAGAGTTCACACACATCGACATTCGTTCTCTAAAATGTTAGTGACAGGGCCTTTAGGAGGAAACCTGGACGTACCTTCCAGCACGATGACTGTAGTGTCTCTTATGATGCGGACTGTAGTGAACAGAACCAGAACAGAGAAGATGTAGGTGCAGATGGGATCTGCCAACTTCAGCTCCGGCTGTGAAGTCAAGACAGATCCGTTACTGAAGTGTTTCATGTTTGTAGAGCCAGCAAACCATTTTACTTATATTCTTTCATTCAAAGGGATTATACTTTTTTTTTTTTTTTTCCATAGTTGATCGTTTATTTAAGTACATGTATCATAGTACAGTTCGCTCTCAGTATGTTTCTAAATATAATCAAGTTGAGCTCATCCAGACAGACACCTTGTTGTTGTTAAAACACTGTAGTTTACACGGTGTGTAATTTATATATTTATGATCAATTACAAAGACCTGAAACTGACTCTGAGAACTTCCTGAGTTTAAGGTAAAAATTTAAGTTACACCGAGACACACATCACTGTTATAATCTGGGACATAAACATTTGTCTTTTAATGTTTTTATTTATTTAGATAAACTAAAGCAGCAGAGACAGCCTGTCTCTCTCTCCCTCTCTTTAACACGGAGTTGTGTCACGTGCGCAGGTTGCACATGTCTGAATGACAACGATGCTCCAAACAAATTAATGTTCAATACAAAGTTGCAGCGAATGGGTCACGTGTGAACATGTTTAATAATTTCTTACGTCATCACCTTCATGAAGGGGAGGGCGGTTCTGTTAGGGTGTCCTCCTTGAAAACACTCCAGAAAACTGATGGGTGCTCTCCCCTGCAGTCTATCTTTGAGTCAATCACCTGCCGTGTACCAGACCCCACCCCAATCTGACTGGGTCAAACTGTGGCTCTGGTTCTGTTTACTGGTTTAAAGCAACCTCGGTTTAATCCCTGGATCATCTTTGGACTGGACTTGTTTTTAACACGACCACAACAAAAAACACGTTTTCATTTTTACAGACAATAAAAATGACAGACGGAAAACTTTAATCCACATTTGAGGTTGTTCTGGTTGTCCAAGAAGAAAACAGTCGCCTCAGTCAACCAGAACCTGCTTTAATGTCGACCTCTGCCATCGATGATTAGGTTCTGAGATGAGCTCGGTTCTGGAGTACCTTGAAGCGGACGATGTAAGCAGCTATGAGCACCCCGACGCTCTGAAGAAGATCTCCTAAAGCGTGGATGAAGGCTGCTCTCACAGCCAGGCTGCCGTGCGGCCCCTGATGACCCGACCCAGCAGAACCTGCAGGCGCCGCAGTGCCGTGGGAGTGACCGTGTCCGTGTGAGTGGAGGTGACCACCTTGGTTTAATAAGAAACCCATTCTGAAGAAGAAGAACAGAGATTTAGTTCAAACATTAAAATGATTGAGTTTTCAGAACCTGCAGCTGGACTTTGGACTGAACTCTTTTGTCCGACTCACATGAGGTTGACGGCTACGCCCACGGCCGCAGTGATGAGCATGATGTCTCCATCGATGTCAAAGTCCTGGTGGACGGTCCTCTGGACCGCCTCGTACAGCAAGATGGCCGTCAGGATGTAGATGAGCAGCACGCTGAGGACGGCCGACACCACTTCTGCAACGCCACATTCAGCCGTCAGAGAGGGTCAAAGTTAAGTCAGGTCCTCTGGACGGTTTCTTTTTGTTGAAACGTTTCGTCTTTTATCCAAAAGACTTCATCAGTCCAAAGCGCACATTCACATTGTGGGTCCACCAGTTGACCCAGTCAACTGGTGAACCAGAGGACCTGACTTAACTTGGTTGGATTTTTCTACCTGGATTATCGATCATGAATCAGGATAACCCAAAGTAAAGGTCTGTGGTTCTGAAGACCAGGGAAATTCATCTGATCTTGTGAAACATTTTACTGTAAAAAACAAACTGGACCCTGTAGACCGAAGCTCAGTCCGTTACCGACAGGTCCAAATGTAACACGGGTCAAAGTCTAAAGCCCGTTGGAGGTCCAGCTTGTTTTAGAGGCTGACGCTCTCAAATGACCGTCTTCAGATTGGTTTCTCCAGAACCATTCCATGACTGTTCAGAGTGCACTGCTGTCTGATGCAGGTAAGTTATTGATTACTCATAAGTAATAAGCATATAAACAGTTGAGAATGGCTTGAATAAAGTCCGTGAAATGTTTCATAACAACATAATAAAGTGATTCAAGCGTTTTACAGACTGTCAGGGTGTTTAAAAATCTTATATAAAGTTTAAGATGTGAATAAATCCTGAACGACAAGTCAGCAGAGCTAACGACCTTTGATCATTTCCACACGGCTGATTTTTTTATTTTATAAGCTTTGGAACATGTGAACACTGAAAACAAGTATAATAAGGAGTTACTGAAGGGGTTTTATAAACAACGATACACGACGAGTTAATAATTATTCAGACAGTGAATTATTTTCAGTTGCTGAAGCGATGTGTCTCTGATCCGCCTTCAGGTGGAAAAACACTTATCTCAAAGTGATGAACCTGCAGAAAAAAATCTGCTGCTACAAACAATAGACAGGATGCTGCTGCAGACTGTGTGTGAGTGCGTGTGTGTGTGTGTCTCACCGAGGCGATGCAGGCCGAAGGTGAACCTTTTGGTTGGAGGTTTAGTGGAGAGCCAGAGGGCGAGCAGAGAAAACAAGATCCCCACCACGTCTGTTAACATGTGAACAGCATCCGTCATGATGGCTAAACTGTTGGACACGTAACCACCTGAAGGACAAACATGAGATTTAAACACGTTGAAGTCTCCACCGGAAACCACACTGACACGAACATGAGACGAGACAGTTACAGATCTCACACATTAGACTAGGTGTGCCTAAAGTTCAAACAAACTGTTCATAAGAATAAACCTTCAGCTCATTCAGAGATTTTCTGACTTTTAACTTTTATACTAAAGTTTTCCTACATTAACATATTTATTAATTCTTTTCACAAACTTGTTTTCTTAAAATCTGCTTCAGCTGTTTGTTGCTTCACCCGCTGCTTTCAGCTTTGTGCTTAAGTTTGACTTCAGTAAATTTCAGCTCTTTTGGCGGCACGGTGGCGCAGTTGGTAGAGCTGCTGCCTCTCAGCGAGAACGCTATTGAATCAAATCCCGGCTGAGAGCCTTTCTGGGTGGAGTGTGCATGTTCTCTCCGTGCATGCGTGGGTTTTCTGCAGGTACTCTGGTTTCCTCCCACAGACCAAAAACGTGCATGTTAGGCTAAATTGTCTTTAGGTGTGAGTGAGAGAGTGAATAGTTGGTTGTCTCATTTGTCTCTATGTGTCCCTGTGATGGACTGGAGACATGTCCAGGGTGTCCCTGCCTCTGGACATGGACACAGTGCCCCGTCCCCCAACCCATAAAGAAGTTGGTTCAGTTCTGTGTTCCGAATGTACCGTCACATTAAATACTTTTTCTCAGGGTGTGACATGAACAGATAATACAAAAATAAATGTATAGAACAGATATAGTTCTGTTTTTATCGTTTATTTAAATAAAATCTAAATAAAGAGCTTTTAAAGCAGCAATATTGAAGTGCAGTGATAATTTTTACTAAAACAACTAAACATTTAACTCGCTGGTTAATTTCTCTCGTTTTATTTATAATAATAACCATAAAGCCGCTGTAGTCGTGAGCTCTTCCAATGCTCTGAGCTGGTAAGGTTTTTCATGCCCACCATACAGGGGAACCCGCCCACCTGCAGAAAGTACTGGAAACACTGGAAAAGCTTTTCAGAATCATTACCACAAAGGCTAGAAAGACCCAGTCTGTGTCCAGCTGAGACTTTACGTGGGTCCGGATCTGGATCGGTCTGCTTTTTGTAGACGATAAAATAAATTAAATGAGAAAAAAAAAGAGAAAGCTTCAACAGAAACTGATTCTCTTTGTTTTAGTCAGAAATACAGATCTGCAGAGACATCTGGTTGGAGGTCAGATGAAAACAAACATGCAGCGCAGGAAAATAAAACAATTTCTGAACTGTAATAAACTCTAAAAACATTACATCAACAAAACAGAACAGGATGGGTTCAGAAAGGATCACATCAGAGTGCTGGACAATAAATACGGTCATGATCTCAAACAGGAAGTCAAACAAAGCCGATATGAAACAGATAACATTTAATCATGTTTACTTTGTTCTTAGGAAGCAGTTTCAGACTCTTCAAGGTTTAACTTTAGAGAAGGAAGCCTTGGTCTGAACGTTTCAGATGATTAAAGAAACAACTAAATGTTTACAAAAATACAGTGTGATGCTGAAAGTTGTTGACAAGGCTGAATGCTAGCTAAAAGCTAAGGGTAGCAAAAACCTAGTTAAAAGTAGCAAAACTGTAGCTTAAAGCTAAAAGTGGCCTAATAAGACAGACAGAGGCTGAAACCTTCTTCAACGAGAACAAAGTTTAAAAAAAGAAATCAGAAGATATTTTAATAAATAGTTTAATATTTTAAAAAGTATAAGTTTCAAAAACTAAAAGTTTAAAATCTCCTGAATGAGCTGGACATTTTGATGTATGAATAATTAAAATTGCCGTATGCAGGAGGAAAACATAAGAAAACAAAAACAGGAAAAGGACCTCGTGATGCCGACTCAGCGCTCAGATGGACGCTGACTCAGCGCTCAGATCATGAAGTTGTGTCTTCAGTGGATTTGTCGGTTCAGAGCAGAGGTAAACAGATGTTTGACCATCACGTTAGTCACTGTTTAACCAGCTGCATTTAAATATTTGAGGAGTGCGAGGCCAGCTGTTAATCAAACCGCTTCTTTCAGCTGGCTCAGTCAAATCTGACAGATAAACACAGCACTGGTTGCTTTGGTCCCAAAAAGCTGATTAACTATAATTAATGGGGGGGGGGGGGGGTATTGAAAATGACTCTTAGCTACTACCATACTAAATCTTAGCTCAACATCTGTAAAATTCACTGAGTTAGAGACGTTTGTGTTGGCTAAATAAGAATGGCTGTGACAGCTATTTTAAATTGTGTTAACATTTCATTAAAACCCTTTCAGAGGCTCATGAGATATTTTGCTGACAGACACACAAAGAATTAAAGCTAAACTTTAAACAAAGCCCTTGCCCAATCTATAGCTTTCAGAATACGTGCTGAAGATGATGCTTGGTTACTAACACTTCAAGTTTAAGCACATTATCTGTAAAACTGACATAGTTTAGGCCATTTGTGTGTTGTTTTAAGATGGTTTGACTGTGGCGGACATGTTGAATTGGGTTGTCTCCACTTGTTTCCTGGAAGTTTTATTAAAATCCATCCAGTGGTTCATGAGATATTTTGCTAACAGACCTGAAAAGTTTGTAAGGTTTGTAGTGTAAATACATGAATTTCTGTTGAAAACCAGAGTTTTTCAAGAGAAACAGGAGTTCATAAACTCACCTATGATCTCTCCTATCATGAACAAGAAGTAGAGCAGAGCTGCGAGGACCAGCCTCTTCATCACCCGGCGGTGCCGGACCCGCTCCCTCCTCCGGCTGCAGGACTCACAGGGGTCCATGTTGGTCCCGGGTACACCGATGGATGGGTCCAACAAGGAGTCATCGTCCTCCTCCTCAGCAGATACCAGCACCGTGTTGACCGGCGCTCCGTTGGATGGAGCCCCAGCCGAGTAGTCCGACATCTCCCCGGAGACCACCACCTGCAGCCGGTTGAACCTCGGGGTGTCATCGTCATCCAGCTCTGACGATAAGTCGAAGGGGGCGGTGTCGCTCAGGTCCCAGTCGGTCCGCTCCCTTCTGAAAGCGGACCGAACCTTTCCAAACAGCTTCCCGCCCGACATCTTTAATATTTCTGATCAGGATCTCCAGGTGATCATTCTCGAAGTTGGCGTGATGTCATCCGTCATTTTTGGTAGGGGGTAAAGCCTGCTGTGTTGTGAAAAACTGACAGACAAGAGAAGTAGATTATTTAGTTTTTACCTCATATATTCCTTCCGGTACGTGCAGGAATGTTGTCAGGATATGAACACCGGATAAACTCCTGGCGGATACGACTAAATGACCCGATGGTGTCGCCTGAGTTGAACTACAAAGATGTTACACCTAAACCAAAGAGTCCACGTTAGAATTATTTTAATAACTTACAGTTGTAAAGGTTCTCATTAAATGTTAATATTCAATATATTCAGTGTTAACTGACAAAACGAAGACCATCAATTCACACTATTTTGAACACTCACACAGTCAAATTTATGTAACAGCACTTATTAAACAGTTTCAGATAAACATAAAATAACAAGTAAAATATATATAAGTATATAAATGGCTTTCAAGAATCTAATAACAGAGAATAAAATCTAGTACCATTATATCAAACCCAACATTTTTCAGTCAGGTCATCTGGACAGTTTCTTTTTTTTGTGCTGAAACGTTTCGCCTTCGATCCGACGATGAAGGCTTCCGGATCGAAGGCGAAACATTTCAGCTCAAAAAAAAGAAACTGTCCAGATGACCTGACTGAAAAATGTTGGATTGTATACCTGGATTATTGAGCACGGACTTTGTTGTCATTATATCAAATGTTTTGATCCTGTTTTCATCACTCTGTATTTCAATCAGTTTTGTATAATTCAGGTTTATATTCACTCAAGGCAGTGGACAAGTACAGATCTCTACACAATCATTTAATTTATACTTAAAAATGCTGGTGATTAAAACAGATGTAAAGTGGTACGTGGTAAAGTGTTCCTACAGCAGCTCTCCATGTTTTCTTCTCGTTCTTACAGATAGAAACATTAAATATTTTCTGTTTGGGTGCTTCTTTGTCAACTTTCCTCCAAACCAACATGTCAGCATCCTTGCTGGTGAACATTCTCAGTCATCCAGGCCGTGATAAATCTAAAAAAAAAAAAGGGGGTTAAAAAAACCCGAAACAACTGGACTTGCACCTCCAGATGTTGCTCGCCAAATGTCACCAAGATCTCATGTGAAATTTCAATACAAAGGCCGCTGCAAATTTGGACATTTTCCATTGAATTTTCCCTAAGTTGCTGTTTATTGTTTGTTCTTCAGGATGTTGCAGAAACTGGACTTATAGTACAGTTGTTGTTTTTTTCAACCATACTGTTTAGGATGTCAGCCTTTTTGAGCTCACGTGACCAGCCGTGCCCGGCTGTCCGACCTGGAGAATGTTTACAGAGAAGCTGCCTTCTGCAGTCCGGATGATTCCGACAAACAGAAAGTGATCAAAACACACAGAGACAACATCAGCTCAGCAGTTTCAGAACCGGGTCTCCGGTCGGTACCCTGTTGGGACTCCACACGAAACAAAAACTTTGACAACGGTTTGGCTAAAACAGTAACAGGTTAGCTAGCAGCTCGTCGATTCAGGCAAACATTCTGCTTTTAGCGCCATATTTGATTAAACCAAATAAAACTGACTCACCCACAAATTTGTCTCCTCATTCCGCTGTCAAACTCAGAGCTGTCATGATAAAACTACACTAAACACGCTAACCTTAGATTCCGAATTGAACAAGACCGACTGGTTCAGTCCCATGAAGACGCATAAAGAACCAGGCTCCAAGACCGATCAGAAGGAACGAGCGCCCCCTGCAGGCTGGGTGGAGTATAACATTCATTTCAACGTCACTGAACGAGAAATAAAAAACAAATAAAGTAAAAAAAAAAACCTCAGGTACTTTGTTCCAGGTGTTGATTCACGAAGTTTTTACCTTTGTCTTCAACCTTCAAACCTTTACATTATCTACTTTTTTTATATTTATTTATTTGATGCCGAAAATGAGAAATACTGACACTGCGTGGCGTAAACGGTTTGTGCATCTTACGCGCTGACGTAATCACGTGACAATACACAGGTCACATGATGCAGACTCACGCGCTACACTAAATCTTAAAGAATCTTTTGTTGTTTTTGTTTTGTGTGTGTCGTTTTAAGTAGAGAGATAAGAGCTGCAGCTGGTGTCCACCGGGCGGGAAGTCAGAAAAAAAAGGACGGGTAAAGAGAAAGGTTCAGACTGCAGAGCTTTGGGATCATTCAGTGCTAAAATCAGCCCGGAAGTAGCTTCAGAAGCTAGCAGCTAACTCGACTGCAGCTACAAGAGGTTAGCCTGCAGCTCAGGTACAAGTGTCAGGTTCGGGCTGCTGTCCCTCACATAGAGGCAGAGGACATGGAGGATGAAGGACTTTCGTCCCAGAGCCAACTTCCAGGTTTGTGTCTGTGGGATTTTGGTGTTTGAGACCAGTTAGGTGGACTTGAAGTCCAGGGACGAATAAAGTCCACTATCTTTCAGTTTTCAGGATCTAATAAACCTGATCTGTTTTTTTTTTAAATCAGCTTCTTCTATGATCCAGATCTGACATGAAGTGAACAAAAACACAACAGGTTCCACCGAATCTTCATGTATTACACAGAAACTGGGTTCAGCCCTGACCCAACAGAACCTCCTTCAGCAGGAGGACCCTCAGTGGTTCTCTGTTGGATATCATCAGCCTTTCTTATGGTCCTGGAGGAGTTCTGGTGCATTCTTTTTTTCATCACTGAGGGTTCTGCTCAGCGCTCTGAATGTCCACCACAGTGTTTCAGTCAGGTTGCAGCTCTGGACTCTGACGGGACCATTGCAGTACCTTAGATCTGTCCCATCTGCCCCGTTCTGTTGTAGATCATCTGCTGTGTTTAGGGTCATGGTCCTGTTGGACCCAGTTTGGTACATTTGACTCCAGAACTCTTTGGTCTACAGAGGAGTTCCTGGTCCACTCAGTGACTGACAGGAGCCCAAACCATCAGTCCTCCACCACTGTGCTGACAGCTGGAGGAGCTGTACACTGCAGTGAATTCTGGGTAAATGTCTGTAGGCTGGACACAGTTTTCACGCCCTGCTTTAACAATTTGTTTCTGCTTAATAAAGAATGACTCGGTGGAACCTGATGAGTGTTTATGTTCACTTCAGGTTATTTTTGGATCCTTTAGAACCCGATAAAAACCCGATAAAGACCCTGAAAGTGAAGGAGGGTGGACTTTGTTTTATCCAAGATGTTCCTCCTCTTCATCACCCAGTGGTGTCTGATCCTCTGCCTCCTCATGGGGACCCGCTTCAGAGCGAGACTCGGCTTTCAGACAACGACCACAGTGCCACTTAGAGAGGAAACGAGCATTAACAGATCAGAACTTCTGTTTTTATTCTGTTGAGGAACAGATTTATCTCTGAATGGACAAATCATGTATCAGAACTTCTGGACCGCCCAGTTCTGCCTGATGCTGTTCAATTTTTATTTATTTTTTACTTTAAGGTGCAGAAAACATAATTTAAAACAGATTTTATCAGAAGAGCCTCTGAGTTTTTTTTTTTTACACAGCTCACTGTTTGGATTCTGCACTGAGACCTGTTGGTCGAAGGTTCTGAGCTTGTTTTTTTTTTTTTTTTTTTTTTTTATTCCACTCTCAGTGTTCACATCAGAGTGTCTTCCCTCAGAACGAAGAGCTGGATGGGTTTGTGTTTAAATTCAGTCCAGATCTGCTTCGTTCATTAAAACCATCTTTGTGCTTTCTGATCCAACAGGTCTGCAGAAGCAGGAGGTTCTGCAGAGCTCCACCTCGGATCAGAACCTGTGTGTGGATAAACTGACAGAAGGACTTTTGTCTCACTACTTACCAGACCTGAAGAACTCTAAACGAGCCCTCCAGGAGCTGACGTGAGTTCCTGGTTCTTCAGGATCTTTCACAGCTTCACGTCATGCTCAGTCTCTCTGAGGAGAACCTGTGGATCTGTGACGGGTTCTGGACTGAGTCCAGCAGCTGTGTTTGGTCTGAGGTTCTTGTGTTGGTTGGGGTTCTTTGTGAATTCTTTGTCCAACTCCGACATGTGTCCAGTTTCGTTACTTTTTTGTCTGCCTATACAGATCTCACTTGTAAATGAGTCTTCTAGGCTCACTGTGACTTATCTGTGTAAATAAAGGTTGATTGAATGAATGACATCATTATTGTCACTCCTCTTTCCTTTTGTCTCGCTCAGACAGAACCAGCTGATCCTCTTAGACACTCTGGACCAGGAAGTCACCAAGTTCAGGGAATGTAACTCCGTACTGGACCTCAACTCTCTGGTTTGTTCCAAATGATCCCATGTTGTTTCTGCTGCAGGAGCAGGAACCAGCACTGACCCGGTCTGTTCTCTTCAGTTCACAGAAGCCAAAGTTTATCAGAACAAACTGGTGACCATCAGGAAGGAGATGATCGTGCTGCACGAGAAGACAACGAAACTGAAGGTAGGAGGTCTGTCCATCAGAGGGAGCAGTACAGCTCTGGATCCAACCTGAAGGTCTGGTTCCTTTCAGAAACGAGCTCTGAAGCTGCAGCAGCAGAAGCAGAAGGAGGCGCTGGAGAAGGAGCAGCAGAAGGAGAAGGAGCTTGAGAGAGAGAGGCAGCTGACGGCCAGACCTGCCAAGAGATCCTGAATGTTTCCTCTGCAGAAGCTCGCTCTGCAGCTCAGGTCATTCATGATTTTTATTTATTTCTAACCGGAGACAGCTGAGACTTTTATCTGCTCATCTGCAGTCCACCAGAGTCCTCTGTGACTTTATCCACTGATTCTTTTGATCCACACACAGGATCTGGACAGAGGTGGCGCTCTGCAGAACCTCCTGCTGCAGATCTGTCAGACATCTGGATGTTTTCTATCTGACCTTTGACCTGGCAGCACTGCACAGTCTCACATTTTCTCCTCTTCATCTCACTTCTGGGTCAAATAAATAATTTTTATTTTTTACATTTTTTATCAAACTCACCAGCCTCCACAAACGGAACTTTTAAGATTTCTGTGGATGTTTCCTCACCTCGTCTTCGACTTCATCAGGAGCTTCTTGTGGAAAATCTGTCTCAAACGGTACCGGACTTCCTGGGTCAGTTTTGTCGAGCTTCAGATCAAAGTCTGCAGCGGCTTGAACAGAACAAACGGGGAAATGATGCGAGCGTTTGAATGTAATCATCTTTGAAATGGTTTCCAGTCAGATCGTGTTTGTCGAGAACAAACCAAAGACAGACTTCGTTAACAAATCTGGTTCCTCTTAGAGGAAGAGGAGGAGGATGAAGCAAAGACTGTTTACTCCTTCATGCAAACGCTTCTGATGCCTTTTACTGACGTGTTCCTGTCAGTGAGGAACGAGTGACGTTACGATACATTGATGCTGAAACGTGTCAAACTAATCGTCTGTTTGCTCTTCAAGAAGCTTCTTTGCAGCTGATGTTTCCAGCTGCTGCGTTTCTACAATTATCAATAAACCCAAAAGAAGAATTTCTTTTTATTTTAACTTGCGTTCTTTACAACGTGGAGACCTGGGGCCACTCCAAAAACAAGAACAGTAATTGGCATGGTTGGATATTTGAAGCACACATGAATCATTTTCAGCTCAGATTTGTTTAAATTTATGCTTCTTGTAAAATTCAAACCCAAAATTCTTAAAAATACATAATTTATTATCATAAAATAAATGTTCACAGATTGTTACGATCTGCAGGAGCTTTCAGGCAGCATCAAGGAGGAAGGAAGAAAGACAAATAAAACGTACAATTTGATATTTCAGCTGCATTACATGATGTCATTTAACAATAATTATAGATAAACTAATAAATATGAATAGGATTTTTTTTTTAATGTTTGTTTTCTCCTGGAAACTTAGTTAAAGTGTGGAAGCTCATTAATGCCTTTCTGAACAAAAATATAAATCCCAAGTCATAAAAACTAAATACAGTCTTAAAATAACTTCTTACCTTATTATAAAATACCATCTAATATTTCTGACCAAGACATAATAAAGTTTATAGAATTTATCATGTTAGTAGGTTAAAATCAGACTTTGAGGGTTTTTTTTATCTTCAAAGTGTCCAAAGTAAATTTCTTTAAAGTGGCAATAAAACGATGCCTTTTATAAATAATATTCCATGTTTGTTTTGTTTTATTTATTTTTGTCACACAAGTTGTTTATTTGGAGACCTTTCAGTCCTGTGGGTGCAGGGAGCCCTTTGGGCCATCAGGTGTCAGAACATCTATGTGTTGCAGCTCTACATGACGTCACCACTGCTTCTGTAAACCTCCAGGAGGTTCTGGTTCTTTTTCATCCCATAGATCAGACTGGACTTGAAGGGACTTCCTGTTCACCTACTGGGCCCAGTTTGTTTCTGATTTGGGTCAAATGTCTCTGTCCCAGAGAGCAGCAGGTTGTTGACAGACAGGACACATTCCTCTGAGACCCAATCGAACCAGCAGACTGCCACACCTCCCGTTTCACACACAACTCTAATTTTATACTCAAAAACCACCAACAACACCCTGTTGTCCCACCAGTCCTGGACTGAACCATAGTGGGACTTTAGAGGGGTCCAGACGCAGACTGAGGGGTCTTGCTTAAGCTAAGTGTTAGGTTGGAGATGATTTCTGTTTTTAGAAAGTCAACAGTCCTCCTGGTTCTCGTCCTCAGACCACAGAGACTCAGACAGGAAGCAGCAGCTGATGATGGTGAAGGCCTCCTGTCTCGGTAAACAGAGCGGTGGGAGGCTGGCTGTGGTCTGTCCCAGCCCCTCCCTGACGGCATCTGGTTTTGGGTCCAACTCTTTGAGACGTGTCTTATGTAACGTTTGTGACTCAACATTTGGACCAGAGACCAGATTTAAACTGAACCAAAACCGCTTTCCAAAATCCTGATTCTCCAGTCAAGTCCAGGAGGAGTTTTACTCTTTTACATGTTGACTTGTTTACATGTTTACTTGCATACAGAGCTGTGCTGTGTAAAATTCTTCACCCTGTTTCGTTCCAACAAACTTTAATTTTTTTTTTACTGGAGTTTTATGAGACGGAGCAAAAAAAAAGCTGCTCCTAAGTGAAGCAGAAAGAAAACATTTTGTTGTTTCTTCCTTTTTTCTAAATAAAAATCTGGTAAGTGTGACATTCACAAGTATTCATTCCCTTCACTCTAGTCCCCTGAACCAAAGTCCTGTAGAAGTCCATTCACTTATAAACAGTCCAGATATGTTTAATTTCAGTATGAACCCAGATGTTCTGTGAAGGTTTGTTAAACCAGTATTATGAAGACCAAGGAGCACAGCTGACTGCTCAGAGAAGTTTAAAACAGGTTTAGGTTATAAAATAATGTCCTAGGCTGTGAACGCATAGCATCATGTCTGAAAATACAAAGAGGAACTACAAACATGTCCGTCAACCTAAACTGACCAGTCAGAGACGAGAACAGCCTTAATCTGAGGAGCAGCCGACAAGCTCCACAGGAGCTCAGGAGGAGCTGCAGAGATCTACACCTCAGGAGGGACCATTTGTCCACAGGACAACTGTTGGTCCACAAACATGACTTGATGGAGGAGTGGTTGATCAGCCTGAACACACCACCCCCTCTGTGAAGCATGGTAGTGGCAGCATCATGCTGTGGGGAGACTTCTCATCACCAGAGACGGGGGGACAAAGACAGCTCTAAATCTAGGACAATCCTGGAAAAATAACCTGTTTGAGTCTGCAGCAGGGGAGATTCTAGAATCTGACCTTTAGGGGTGCTTAGCCCCTAGTGCTGACAGTAGCTCTTGGCTTGAACAACATGATAGTCATGGGCGTCAGAAGCATTGGGGGTGGGGGGGTTCTGAGAGTCCTCCCCCAGAAATTTTTTAATACAGTAGATGCCATTTCCTGCATTCTGGTGTATTTTAACGGCTTGTTAAACATCTATGTTTACCTTATAAGAACATTTGCTTCAATAACTATTTTAGAGCTCGGCAGTGCTGAGCTAGCGGCGTGTAATGCAGACGCACTAGCTATGCTACAGATGCAGCACTCTGCTTTGCATTGCACAACCTAATAAACACGTTGTACAAAATCAGTTTAGTGTTAACTGATCATAACAAACAAAAACTAATGCAACCAGAAGTTGTAGCATAGCTTTATCTACATTTACAACACACAAAAACAAAGCACAAGTAGCTTTAAGCATTAACCTTTAATTTAACCTTTAAGTATACTGTAAAATGTAATTATGACAGAAAATGGAGGATTTACCTGCAGTTACCTTCATACAGATGAACATGCGGCACTTCCTGTTTATCAATGGTGCATTCAGCTGCTCATGAGGTCAGCCGCAGGGCTTTATCCATCTTTACAGACTCAGTTTAGGTTTTGGAAATGGAATAAACTGTATTTCACCCTTTAAAGCAGGGCTATTCAACTAAACTGCTCAGGGGGCCACAGTTACTGAAAGCCAGCAGATCAGGGGCCGGACAGCCAGCAATTAAAGTCATTATGTAAATAAACCAAGTATTACAATGATCTGTTACCTTGTAAATTTGTTTATTTTGTTGAGTTGAATCATAAATGCAATAAACAGAACCCAGAACCACCCAAAAATACAATTATATATATATAT